TCTAATTAGAGAAGAAGTGCCAAGAGCGGCGAGTCTAATCCCCGATGCCACCAGCATAGAACTGGAATGTAAACATGCTGAGCCATAATCTGCCCGCTGAATGCCCGCTCGTGTTGCAGTGCCTTCAGTTTCTTTTTTTTGCTGTAAACACGAAAGTGGCTGAATTCCGATTGCTGTGATTGAAGCTTAGCAGGAGAACGGCCATATTGACTGTAACGCCCCAAGACACAGGTGCCATATCAGTACCTCTGTGGGCAGGGAGAAGAGGGTTAAGCTTGCCATGGACCGCTACAATTTTGGCTGAAAAGCTCAACATAAATGGACTGAGCCGGGTGGCAAGTTATTGGCTGGACATTAACTGCATCCTATCAGATGCTGTCATTGTTTGGCAATGCCATTGTATCCAGACACCTGCGGGCACTGCGAATGTCTGCATACAGTAGTTAGCGGTGGGGATTCCTCCATCCATGTTGCTAACCCCAGTACGGGGGGTAAGCTGCACTACAAGAGCACTTTTTTTTTTTTTTTTAATCCCTTGAGTCCTCTTTAATGCTGCCATCCCCAGTAGCACATAACATTTCCTTTGTTCCGCCATCGCAATATATCTAGCACATTCTGACATGGAGGATCATGTGGCTCTCTCCATGTGACAGTGCTGGTCCAATCGCCAGCAATGTCACATAAAAGAGTCAGCAGCCCTATTTGACCTTTTAATTAACCTGTTGCTTTGATCCAAAGCTTTACTGAATGTCATTTAGCTTGCATCAAAAATGTTTTATTTTTTTAAAAATAAAATACTTGTTTTCTCCTTTTTATCACCTTCAGCCTCTTTGCAGCCGCTTCTCGTCTACATGCACTCCAGCGACGGCTGCCTGGCATTTCTCACGGCAGGTTTCATGATGGTGGCAACAGTGGACCATGCCAACGTAATGTACGTTGAAACGGCCACTTGTAGTCTCCCCCATTGGACCTTGTGACAGGGTGACAACACAGGACCACAATAAGTAGACAGAGATTGAGCATTGTCACCTTTAAAACAGGATGTTTCTGAAGAAGGACATTGACGACAGGATCACCAGGTATTATTTTAATGAATGCTGAAGATTTACTAATATTGAAATTGACATTAACAGGTTAAAGCTTCTATGAGACCTTAGTGATTGGGTTTACATCTACTTTAAACGTGACCCCTTGCAAACATTCAGCCCCGCCATTAACATTTCACAGCACAACATACTACAAGTGTTTGTGTATTTAATTCTGGCATAGACGCTCGTGTTTATCCCGGCAGCGATTACGCTGAGCTGGAAGCTCCCAGTTGTTCGTCTATAAATGGAAATCTTACCCCTGCTTAGTACCCGTCCACTGGGACGTACACAGTTTACATGCAAGCCTCGTTATCACTCCTTATTGCAGTTTTACAGTAGCCCGCGAGGCCGAGGGGCTGGTTGTCGGTGTGTTAGATCAGCAGTCGGCACACAGGGAAAGCAGAAAGCCTTATGTGAGATTAATACCCCGTGTTATTCCTAAATATGATGCAAAAGTTTGAGAAGAAGCTGTTTGCTTAATGCCTTTTGTTGTGGGGAAAATGTGCGCTCACGTGCAGAGGATTACCTACCTGTACCTCGGGCTAGAAGGATCGCTCTAAGATATTCCAAGCTGGCAGATGCAAGAGATGGTTTATTATTTTTATATCAAAATATTAGAGCAGATTATATTCATTGGCCGCAATAGAAGCTGAATTACTAAGGTCTCATAAAAGCTACAACATGTTATTGCCATTTGTATATAGTTTTAGATCTGCAAATACCTGGTGATCCTGCCATGAAGGTCCTTGTGCAGGTGCTTCCACTTATAGAGTAACGATGCTCCGTTCCTGTCTACCGATTGTGCTCCTGTGTTGTCACCCAATCACATAGACTTACAATGGAGGCTACAAGTGGCCATTTCAACACATTACGTAGGCATGGGCTGCTGATCGGGAAGCTGCCCCGAGAAATACCATGCAGCCATCGCTGGAGTGTATATAGAAAGGAAGTGGCTCTACGCGTACTAACCATATTTAGTTAGCAGGTCCACTTAGAGAAGAACTCTGGGTAAAGATTTGATTAACTCTTGCACTGTGGCTACCCGGCACTGCAAGGGTTAAGTGCTTGTTTTTGCCTAGGGTCAAAAATAAAAAAAAGTTATACTCATCCGATCTTCCAAGCCGGCTTGCTCGTAGCTTGCTTGCTCTGGAGCCTCTCTCCTCCTCCGTTGGAGTGGTCTAAGGTCCCGGAGTCATCATGTTCTATAGACAGTGTAAAGGGGATAAGGACGCCAAGAGACATACCATCACTGCAGCGGAGGAGACCACACACCCGGGCAAGCTCGGACGATCGGGTGAGTATAACTTTGTTATTATTGACCCTACGCAAAAATGAGCAGTTGACACTTGCAGTGCAGGGGGGAAGGGATTTAATAACCCTGTAAAAATAATTTATTTGAAATCATCCCTACATAGTTTAATGCAGAGGTAGCCAAAATTTGGCCCTCCAGCTGTGGTGAAACTACAAATCCCATGAGACATTGCAAGACTCTTGACATCCACAGGCGTGACTCCCAGAGGCAGATACAGGTATAATGCATCCCCTGATACCCTGCTCACCCTGTAAGAGCAAACGTTAGCCCTAAATAATGTATTGCAACTGCAGATCTACTGCTCTGGGCTTGTTATAGCGGCTGGCCTTGTGTCCAGGTGCCTAGCCATTTAGTCACATGGTCCTCTCTGATGGCAAGGATCACAATTCAGATTGAGTTCACATGAACAAGTACCTAAGCATTTGGTCACATGGTTCTCTCTGATGGCAAGGAGCACAATTCAGATTGAGTTCAAATGAACAAGTACCTAGGCATTTGGTCACATGGTCCTCTCTGATGGCAAGGAGCACAATTCAGATTGAGTTCACAGGAACAAGTTCCTAGGCATTTAATGATGCGGCTGGCCTCTCTGAGATCATGGATTTGTTGATCTGCATTGAGGGAAAGTATTTCATGTCTTCTTTAAACTTTTGAAACTTTCAGGAAGTGGAATAGGAAGCATAGCAGGGTTTGTTATGATGACAGGTCTACTTCAAGTCATTAAATTAGTCTGTTTCACTCTTTGTCGGAAGTTCTGGCACAGGCACCATAAAATGATGATTGTGCTGCATTAACAATTCCCATCCATTTGCCAGTCAGAAAGAAAAAAAGGTATTCTTTGTACTTCTCGGCCCCGGGGAAATCTGAATCTATTTTTCTGTTTTGTTTAACGTGTATTTTGGAGTTGTCATTCGTCCCTCTCCCTGGGGAAATTAAAATGGCTGCCCCATTAAGACAACACAGGTTGCCGCGGTAACAGCTGCTCACTTGGAAACTCTTGTAGGATGAAAAGTTGACAAAAAGTACGAATTTGTTATGTGAATGGAGGAGGAAAGAAACTCAGGAAAGGCAGTAAATCACCATAAAGTTAAAGAGCAACTCCCATTTGGATTAGAATGGATGTGTGTGCCGTTTACGATTGCCTTGCAAGCGGTTTTGTTACGTGATCGTATGGAAAAAAAGTCCTTCCCCTGACAGGGTGCTGCCACATCCAAGATCTGATATAAAAGTCAAATCCGATGATATCTGGAGTGATCATACTGATTGCCCCTCGGGATCCTTAGGAATTTACCCAGTCCAGCGCTTGCTGTGTTCGACAGGAATGAGCCCTGATGAAGGGGGACCCTGTGAACCTTGTGAACTCTCAAAACGCATTTGTATTTGCATGCTACAAGGGGTTGTACAATGAAAAATTCAGGTATTTCCCTGAACCGGGAGCCATAAGTGCTGTGTACAGCTACCCATAGAAACCAAAGGCTGTAGGTGGACACACGCATGCGTACGAACGTCCGCGGCAAGATACTTTTTCTTTACGCATGCTTATGTATTGGCATATACCCGCATGCAGCCATTGACTTTTGGGTGGCTGTACACAGCAGCTTTGGCAGAGAAATACGCCTTTTTTTTACTTTATACATTCCCAGGCGCCCCTGTGCATGACCCCTAACAGTGGGATCGCTAAACACACCGGTTTTACCTAATGTGTGGCACTATTCAGCCATTCTTGCTATGCTATTTCTTGGTTTATTACTATTGCATGGGTTGGCTTCCTTTCTGCACAGAGAGAGGTGCTGATGCTGATTCCCTGTCCAGTCGAGAGTCTGGAGGCAATGTAGGAAGCCTCATTGATGAAGCAGGATGATGAATTGCCTGATTAGAATCTACGTGTGTCATCTGTCAGGCCACACTGTGTAAAAAAAATAAATGTGTGTAAACCACAAGACTGGCTGTACACAATGACGAATCCTTTGGCAGGTAAAGCAGTGTCTATCAGTTTGATGGAGTTTTGCTTGAGAGAGAATAGGGGCACATGTGCACCGCAACGCCTCCGGGCAAGAATTGCAGCAGATCCCATTGACTTGCTGGAGGATAGGTTCATTTTTCCCATCATTCTCAGCGAGGTATCTGCCAGCTTGTGGCCACCCTCATGTTTAAACATTACCACATAGTTCCCTCTGAATTTTGATTTGTTCTTTCAGATGAGGATGTTTGAGTTTAAAGGAATCCTCGCCTTTATCTAGATTAGGAAGGGCCCTGCATACAAAGATTCATATTTCCGTTGGCGATCTAATCACACGTCTTGTTGGTTTGCTGTTTCTGCCTTGGGTAACTGTTTGGCAACAAGAAACTTCACCCAGACTTTACATAATCAGCAAGATTGATTAATCTGGTGAGGAAGGAACAACAGATAAGGATCTTAGCACTCTCATGCTTCAGCCCTTCTAGGCATCAGCAAGAACTTTTATCAAAACAATTTGGCAAAAATAAAAGGCGGCAAAATGGATGTTTGCAATGTGCTTGGATGAGTTCTGTGCGTGTATGAGAGTTCAAAAACTGAAAACGTAATTTTTTTTTTCTTTTATCTGTTAGCATCAGAGGGAATTCAGGCGGGCGCGGTCCTAGATAACACACAGCTGGATTGTGGAATCCCCGAGAAGATGCAGTGATTGTCCCGGTCAGAAGACAACCCAGCAGAGAAGGATGAACAGCGAGGAGGAGTTTTTTGATGCCGTTACAGGTAAGTGAGCAAGTTCCAGAAATATTTATATTTTTTGCCATACATGGCTGGAATTGTGGCCAATTTTATAGGAATTCAAGCAATGGGTGAATGAGGTGATATACTTACCTTTATTACTCACTCCTCAGACTTCCTCTGCGTCTGGTTGCTGTCCTCCGACATCATCCAGTAAAATCCAGGACCAGCATGGTCTTCCTGTGACCATTCCCCTGGGGTGTAGCCCTCTGATGTCATCCCATAAAATGCAGGACCAGCATGGTCTTCTGTAATCATTCCCCTGGTCTGCAGCCCTCTGATGTCATCCCATAAAATGCAGGACCAGCATGGTCTTCCTGTGACCATTCCCCTGGGGTGCAGGCCTCTGATGTCATCCCGTACAATGCAGGATCAGCATGGTCTTCCTGTGACCATTCCCCTGGGGTGCAGGCCTCTGGCGTCATCCCATAAAATGGTCCAAAAGAGGACCAGCATGGTCTTCTGTAATCATTCCCCTGGTCTGCAGCCCTCTGATGTCATCCCATAAAATGCAGGACCAGCATGGTCTTCCTGTGACAATTGCCCTGGGGTGTAGCCCTCTGGCATCATCCTGTAAAAACCAATACCAGCATGGTCTCCCTGTGACCATAAAATGCAGGACCAGCATGGTCTTCTGTAATCATTCCCCTGGTCTGCAGCCCTCTGATGTCATCCCATAAAATGCAGGACCAGCATGGTCTTCCTGTGACCATTCCCCTGGGGTGCAGCCCTCTGGCGTCATCCCATAAAATGCAGGGCCAGCATGGTCTTCCTGTGACCATTCCCCTGGGGTGCAGCCCTCTGGCGTCATCCCATAAAATGCAGGACCAGCATTGTCTTCTTGTGACCATTCCTCTGCGGTGCAGCCCTCTGGCGTCATCCCATAAAATGCAGGACCAGCATGGTCTTCCTCTGACCATTCCCCTGGGGTGCAGCCCTCTGGCGTCATCCCGTAAAATCCACTACCAGCATGGTCTTCCTGTTACCATTCCCCTGATCTGCAGCCCTCTGATGTCATCCCGTAAAATCCAGGACCAGCATGGTCTTCCTGTGACCATTCCCCTTGGGTGCAGGCCTCTGATGTCATCCCGTACAATGCAGGATCAGCATGGTCTTCCTGTGACCATTCCCCTGGGGTGCAGGCCTCTGGCATCATCCCGTACAATGCAGGATCAGCATGGTCTTCCCGTGACCATTCCCCTGGGGTGCAGGCCTCTGATGTCATCCCGTACAATGCAGGATCAGCATGGTCTTCCTGTGACCATTCCCCTGGGGTACAGGCCTCTGGTGTCATCCCGTACAATGCAGGATCAGCATTCTTGCTTTGTATGGGTGGACCCTGAGAGCCTGTTCTCATTTCCCAGCACTGGACAGCAAAGGAGAATGCCGGCTGCTGGAGAAGTAAGGAATAAGGCAAGTGGGATCACCTTATTGATAACCCCCAAGACCGTAAACCCTTGCAGTGGGGTAAATCTGTTATTTTTTCCCCAGAGTTCAGCTTTAAAGTGATATTAAACCTTCATATTTTTATTATTTTTATGATGAGGAGGCCCACTGTTACATGCCTTCACTATTCTTCTTCAAAGTTTTTTCTTTATTTCTCATCCTCTTTAAATGCATGTATAGATACACACAGCGTGCGCCAAGTCTTGCGCTCGGTATCCTTCCTCACAACCAGAAAGTTGGGGGAATGCCGCATATCTTACTGGGCCCAGCGGAGGTGACAAGCAACCACAAATAAGTGTTTGGGTTCACACAAGTAAGTGTTTTGGTAAGATTCTGAGCATTTTTTACCTTCATGCAGAGAATGCAGTAAGGTAAAAAAAAACACCTAGCATTTAGTACTACTTCATTTTTCCTTTTGGGTATAGTAGGAAGGGTTCGTATCCCTGTCAGATTTTCTGCCACCTATGTATATTGGGGAGATTTCCTTTTAAGTTTTTTTACGTTTAGATCTCTCTAAAGTGAGGGAAATCCATATTGGAAGCTCAATATTTTGGATTTTCGATCCTGGTGGCAATGGTCACCAGGATAAATAGAAAAAATTAATCCCCCCTAGCAAGGACACCATAAGTAAGTAAGAACCTGACAGATACTAACCCTTCCATACTCTAGCCAAATATTTTTTTTTAAACGTTTTAGGCTCAGATGCAGTTTGAAAAAAGTAAACTCATTATCTGCTGGGTTTTAAACAATACCTCACTTCTTACTTAGTCCTGAGATCTTCTGTATTTATCTGCTGAAATATAATTTTGCATCTCTTCAATAAATAATACATGATACCTTTTGGATACCTTTTCCTCATTGTTGCTAATCTCATGTCCCAGCTCATATTTCACCTTTCCGGCCCGCTTCTCCCTCCGTCAGAGTCTATATGAATTTGTAGATATTATCTATAGCATACCAAACACAGTCATCCCTTTACTTTAACAAGCTCTGAATATTAAGAGTACAGCACTCGTCAGGTCTTGTCAGCAAAATGCAAAAGAGGTAATAAATGAATAAGTAAACCGAATATTTAGCATCTGCCAAAAGAATTTCAAGCGCAAATCTCCGTGCCCGAATAATAATCTCATCACCTGGAAAACAAAGTGCGTTTCCAGAGACGACCGAAGAATTGTTAGAATTAATGCGTACTTTGGTGCAGCGTTGCCCCAGTAAGACCTTTTTTTTTGTTTTGGCTTTGGGTAATGGTACTTTTTTCTGCGTTGAGCTTTTTCCGAAGTTGGGCTGTTTTAATATTTTATTCCTTTATTTTGCAAGCTGTAAAATAGTTTCTACATTAATGCTCAGAGATCTTTGCCCTCAGGCATCAGAACCTGGTAGTACACTCCTAGGCAGCCAGTGGGGGCAGGAGCACTGGCATGAACTGCTAGGACCGCTTATTACAGGGAGGATAACCAGCAAGCAGGTGAGTTTTCTAAAGTAGACTTGAACACCAACAGCAGAAGCACTTTAAATCAACATGGTCATTCAAAAAAAATTGTAACTAAGCCATTGCTGCAATGAAAAGTTTTAATACACATCCCTACTGTTGTATGCACTGCCACTCCACTGTCTTCCAGGGATAATCTTACTAAAGAAACTTCAGCATTCATGACGCTTTTGGGTGGGTTTGATGTCTCTGCGGCATTCTGTGGTTCCTTCTGCCAGACCTACATCAGTACCATATCCTGGAGTGACGTAGGGGGGACAGTGGATGAAACCACAGAGCACAGCGGGGGATGTCGGCATCCCATGTTCTTGGAAGTGTCCAATGCAGAAGATTTTTCATTAAGCTTTTCGATGGCGTGGCAAGCGGTAATCGCTTCATTTTACTGGTTTTTTTTTTTAAATTTGCGACGGGTGCGATTTAGTAAACAGGAATTGGGCAATAAAAATGGCACAAAACAAAATATGTAGTAGGCCCCTCATATTATCTTAAGCTCAAGTGAAGGTCATTGCCTCATTTCAAACTGTAGATTTGGATTTGGTTACAAATTTATCCAATCATGCTGGGGCTGAACAAGAGAAATCATTAGATTCATCCATACACACTGGGGCTAAGAGCAATCATTAGATTCACCCATACACACGGGCTGAGAGGATTCATTAGGCTCACCCATACACACTGGGGCTGAACAAGAGAAATCATTAGGTTCACCCATACACATTGGGGCTGAGCAAGAGAAATCATGAGGTTCACCCATACACACTGGGGCTCAACGAGCGAAATCATGAGGTTCACCCATACACACTGGGGCTCAACGAGAGAAATCATTAGGTTCACCCATACACACTGGGGCTCAACGAGCGAAATCATTAGGTTCACCCATACACACTGGGGCTCAACGAGCGAAACCATTAGGTTCACCCATACACACTGCGGCTCAACGAGAGAGATCATTAGGTTCACCCATTCACACTGGCGCTCAACGAGAGAAATCATTAGGTTCACCCATACACACTGGGGCTCAACGAGGGAAATCATTAGGTTCACCCATCCACACTGGGGCTCAACGAGAGAAATCATTAGGTTCACCCATCCACACTGGGGCTGAATGAGCGAAATCATGAGGTTCACCCATCCACACTGGGGCTGAACGAGATAAATCATTAGGTTCACCCATCCACGCTGGGGCTGAACAAGAGAAATTAGATTCACCCATCCACGCTGGGGCTGAATAAGAGAAATCATTAAATTGAAGATGATGCAGGACAATGCCTACAATGTGGTCACAACACCCCCGCCCCATCCCCACACACACACACACACACACTCCAGCTGCTTCTGAATCCTGGGAGATTATGAAGACCCTTGAAGATACCTGAAGGGTGGTTGGATGGTTCCTGTTTATGCCCAAGACTGTATTATTACCTCTCTATCATATTATCTCTCCTATAATCCAGACTATACTGTTATCTCTGGTCAGTATACACTCTTCGTACCACTTGCACATTGACTGGAATTGTAAAGTCCATCTTTTGTCTCTGTACATCTTATCATAACAGTTTCAAATCTTAATTGGCACTAAAACGTTGAGTGCAACTTTGCCAGTCGACATAGATATTTGAGCATACAGTGCAGAATGCCTGATAGTAACCCTAGTATTTATGTCGCAGTAGAGGAAACAAACATTCCAGGAGGTCATACGGGAACAGGCTGTGTGGTACAGCTGTCTGCGAGCCGTGAATAATTCTTTGTCACACCGATACAAAACCAAACTTCTGCTTTACAGGGCAAAGCAACACTCTCACTTTACAAAGACCTTGTTGCTAGATCATTCATTTCAACAGCAATCTACCATAAGGTTATATGTGGATCTGGAGTGGATCCTCAGTCTGGGGTCCAGTGTGGGCTGCTCTGCTGTGGCAGAGCTCCATACATATGTGCATTGCTTGTACGGCTCCCTTGCGTGCCCTGTAGGAGTGCGGGGAGGCAGAATGTGCTGTCACCATGGCACCTCTATAGGACACGTGAGGGAGCTGTAAGCAATGCATGTATAGATGGAGCTCTCTCACAGCCATAGCCCCATCCCACCCCACCTCAAGCTGACATGCTCCGCCATTGGGAGGCTGAGGAGCCTCTCAACTAGAAAAGTGGAAGACTTGCGGCAACCCATTGAAAACAGGGTCGTGACCCACTTTTGGGTCACAACCCACCAGTTGAGAACCAAGGCTCAATAGCATTCCCCTTCATTTCTTCCCCAGTAGCTACATAATGAGGAGTTGTAGAGGAGCTGGCCCAGCAAGGACATTCATTGGATGGAGACAGCTATAACGTGGGGAGGGGGCTGTGCTAGGCAATTGACTATTCAATTTTTCTAGTAGGTTTAAAGGCACATTGCAAGTGACTGAAAATCATTTACGGGGGAAAAAAACACTTCAAGTAAGCATTTAAATACTTTTTGTGTGTTTACGTAAAAGGGAAGGCCAGAACTAGAAGCCAATGAGGCTCTGTGGCCGCGCACATGTAACAGGAGGAGAGACCCGGGTGACTTTATCAGTACACTGCATATCAACAAACAGCAGAGCAGTGGCCCTCGGATCTCGTTAAATATCGATCTGCGAGGAGCAAGGGTGGAATCATTTAGGTTGGGGAGGGGGCACAAATAATAAGTTTGCTTTCTCTAAAACGGCCCTTATTCTATAACTAATAGGAAAAAAGTTTTGTCTCCTATTTGATTAGCGAATGTGTGAGTCACCAGGCTGTCTAAATAGAACAACAAATCCTTTGGCAGGTAAAGCAGTTCCCATGTATATATTACTGTGGTGTATTCAGCTTTAATACTGCTACCATGGTTTGCAGGCAGTTAGATTGTATTTGGCATGCAGAACATGTTTGGCTGCATACAAATATAAATATCATTTATAACAAAGTTAAATGACAGAGTGGCATGTGTGGCAATCCATATATGTAATTTTTTTGTAATTCTTGCCAAGTGTGCAGCTGTGTGACCATATTATATCTTTAAATTGTACAGTATTCCTGCATGTCAAGCTGACATTGCCAAAGCCTTATCATAATCACTGCAGAAGGAATGTCGTACCTGTAAAAAATCATCAGACAACGCGTAAAGTCTGGACTTTAACTGTGGTGTGCCAGAACACGGTGTCACTTCTTCTTGCACAATATCTTCAAGGCTTGTGAAACCAAAAAAATAAAACACAAATAATAGGCTGTCCTTCTGCTTCAGCAGAGTTCAGTGACACCCGCACGTCACACTTTCCATCCTCTCCCCAACAGGCACAGACTCTGACAATTCCTCTGCAGAGTTTGCCGACACTAACCAGCGGCTCGCCGACATGACCCTCACCAACCAAAGCATGACGCCCGACGAGGAGGGAAGCCTCCAGGAGAATGGAGTGAAGAAACACAGGTGACTTTTTATTTCATTTATAAGTAATAGAGGAGTGAAGATCCTGTGTGTGTGTGTGTGATGTGTCATTGATAATAGGACATGGAATGCTTTTTTCTGTCTAGAACTTCTGTCTGTAACTCAGCCTACTGAATTGCTAGAGAACGGTAGATTGCATAAAGAATAACTTTATCCTTTCTCTACCCCTTTATATTCTGCAGCAAAACAATCAGTTCTGTCCTAATGTGGGTATAGGCTGTTAAAGTTTCTATTGTCCACCCAAAGTGACAGTTCAGATATAGATGGTAGGTGGTGGGCTGAGAAATCCTGCAGTGAAATTTCATTGCCATAATTTCTGTCCACTTGGGAGTCTTTGCTGACAACTCAGCTCAGGGATGGTGGGAGCTCCTCAAAATGGGCACAGCAGGTGTACAGACCTAGGAACTCAGCACAGGGATGGAGGGAGACCATCATAATGGGCACAGCCGTATTAGAGACTTAGGAACTCAGCACCGGGATGGTGAAAGTCCTTCATAATGGGCACAGGTGTACTCACCCGGGAACTCAGCACTGGGATGGTGGGAGTCCTTCATGGAACTCAGCACAGGGATGGTAGTAACCCCTCATAATGGGCACAGTAGATGTGCAGACTCTGGAACTTAGTGCGGGGTTGGTGACAACCACTCATAATGGGCACAGCAGTTAGGCAGACTCAGAAACTCCGCACAGAGATCTCACTAATCAAATACACAAGAGAAAATGTTGCATGCTTTAACTCGACACATCTACCAAAGAATGAAATGTCAGATTTGGGGGGAATTGCAAAGACCTTGACAGCCACAGGCATGACTCCCAGAGGCAGATCCATGATGGAATTTGTGGTTTCACTCCAGCTAAAGTGCCGGGGTTGCCTAACCCTGCTCTAAAGTGTACATGTATGAATTTTAAAACTGGTAAACTTCTACTAAAACTGAAGACTAGAAATGACGAGAGGTATTAGTACAAACTGAAGTCAAAGTTTTACTGTATGCAAACACCTGGAGGTACTTGCAAACACTTGGTTTGTAGAGCACCCTGGGAGCCCAGAAAGTTGGGTCACTCCATGGATGAATTCCCCCCCCCCAACCAGCAGTCCTTGTTGTTGGTCCATATATATGATGGGTGGCTTCATTCCAGTGGGGAGTCTGTGAGGTGTGAGGAGGTGCTTTGAAGCAGAGTTTTAGGGTGTAAATTTGCAATTTGCACAAAAGAGGAGTGGAGGTCCTGGGGTCCTCTGCAAGCTTATTGAGTGTGATGTCAGCTTCAGGGATCTGCCCTTTTAGCCTTTGTGGTGGTATACCAGGTGACACACAGGTTAGACCGGTGGACAAACCAGTTGTGTCTGTTTTACGAGTGCTAACGTATACTGTAAATTGAGTTGTTCACTGCCCTGGAGGACTCTCTAATATCTTTACTACATTCCTTCACACAGTCTAGGGTCAGTTTTGGTAGAAGCCACAGTTTGTGGTTGCAGTTTGCATTGTGGAAGACATTGTAGCACCCAGGGGAAGCTTACACTAACATGAGGAACAGTACAACCATTAAGGTCGCCGTAAACTGTATGAAAATAACTGAAAAGCCCACCTCTAAAGTACTGTAAGGTGCAGCATTCCCTTCATATAACAGAAGGAATTTGCATATCCTCACTTCCAGCACAAAACCCAAAAACAAGGAGCTCAGTGTCTGCATATGAGTAAGCGGGCAGATTCATGCAAATCATTCTTTTTTTGCCCCCTTTAGCCATCTGGGCTTCCAGAACTGCTGGAGTTTAGCACAGATATAGCCATAAGTGTACCGAGCCAGTATTACCAACTTGCATGTAGCTATTTCAGGCTTCTTGGCCCTTCCCAGGGCAAGATATGGCTTTATGGTGTAGGGCTGTCAGAGACTGAGCTCCTTATTATGGGGTTTTGTGCTTGAAGTTAGGACACGTAAATGCTGTGTGTTAAAGCTGTATATTACAGTACTTTAGAGATGGGTTCAGGTTGAATAGCCTCAATGCAAGGTTGTGCTGTTCCTCCAGACTCACAAGGCCTACGCCATAAAGCCAGTACAGTAATTTTTTGCACTTATGACTGTTGGCTCCATGCTTGTTTTAGTGGGCTGTGCACCGAGTTCTGCTAATCCACTGAAACCTATACACCTGGGGTGCTGAACCTCGGCACTCTAGCTGTGGTGAATCTAAAATTCCTATCGTGCTTCTAGGTGTTTTGCCTGGGACTGTCACAGTAGTTCCATATCAGCTGGAGTGGCAAAGATTGCCTACCCCTGCTATAGAAGGACTGCAATAATCTATTTAAAAGGGAAATGATTGGTGATGTCACTTAGTGCCACAGTGGAGTTCAGGGCTTGTAGAGATTACAGCTGGGAAAATACCTAGATATTAGTCCCTGTGTTTTATAGCCATGCAGATATGACTAAAGAGCTGTTTATTTCACAACCGCCTACCTTTATGAACAATAAGGCGTCATTCATTAAATGGTGCTTATTCTGAAGTGTAGTTTACCTGTAGTAGCCAAAATTCATCACCTCCTGGTTGGAGTTTCTTGTGATTTGGTTGCTGTGGGTTTTTCTCCTTCAGAATTAGGACTTTTAGTTAGATATATTTTGGAAGTTGAATGTTTTTCCCATGTGCAAGTTATTTTTCTGAACCATTAATCTGTCAGGTTAGACCTTTAGCATGCAGGTAAAAGGTTATGCCAGTGTAGTATTTTCCCCGTCTATGTGACTGAAGGCCTTCAACCTGACCTTTCATGTCTCCCTTTTCTGCTGACGTGGCAGTGTTTAGGAGTGGACACCGTGTACTTGTGTATTTTACATGGGATTCCCTCCAAAGAACACTCTCCCTCCCTGTATGTCATAATCACAGTCAAGGTCTATCTACAGGCAAAACTTTTTTTAAAGTTATTAGTTGGGGTGGTGAGCGGTTAGAGCGCTTGTCGTGTGTGGGAGAATTACTCTCTCCATTCGTCTGGGTCTCCGCTGTAAGGTCTGTCAGAATATTATCACTGTATATGTCTTCCTGTCCCAGTGACAACAGCACCCCTTAATTATTTGTTACTCTAAAATGGACGGGAAGTGATGTAGTATATCCCCAACAGCAATAAAAACTTAACGTTTGTATTTCTCTTCCCATGCCTATCCAAAACTATGAAAAAACTATAGCTTTGTCTCGGTTGGCCTTTCAGTAAACACAATCACGATCTCTTTTTTCTCGATTCTTGGGCATAGAAAAGCAGAAATATAAATCTACCAGGTTTAAAGGATAAAAGATAACCGAAACAAGTTAAGTAAAAGTTGAATCTTTAAAGGAACCTCTCAGGATGGATATACGAAAGCTGCCACTGTGGATTTGTTTATGAAGGTCTAGGCTTGATGTCCCCGCGTTCTATAATCCTGTAGGGTTGTGGACAGTTTAAATCTTGTTTATCAGTTGTGCAACATGCTTGTTATAAAGCAATGAGGGTACAGTAGAGGGTCTCAGAGTCTACAATCCATGGAGGAAGGTTACAGAAGTCAGCTGCACCATGTCAGTATAGTTTGAGTGCGTAATAAATATTTTTTTCTCTGCTTCTTGAGTTACACCATTTTAGTTCTTAAAGTCATTTCTATATAGAATTAAAACTTGCACTGATGTGCCGGCCCTGCAGGTAGATGAAACATTCGTGGTCTGCATTTGGAATATAAGTGATACCTATTATTACTACCCTTAAACTTCAAACTTCCCGCTTTCGATGGCAGCTATCACAATACAGGTGTGCCCCTGCATCATTTTTATAAAGTATACATATAACTAGGGATGCACCGATACCAGTTTTTCGGTATCGAGTACCGATATTTTTTTTTCAGTACTCACCGACATGAGTATCAATACCTGTGGACCGATTATCAGGAAGTTGGGTAGCGAGTCATGACCCCGGCCCGCTTCCTGATTGCCTGGGAAGCCGGTGTTCTATAGAAAGAACACCGGATTCACTTGCCGAGGCTGCCTGGCTTCCTGACCAATCTGGAAGCTGGGTGGCAGGCCGTTCGGCTTCCTAATTGGTCAGGAAGCCAGGCTGCCTAGCAACAAGTGAAGCTGGCTTCCTAGCCAGTCAGGAAGACGGGAGACAGGTCATAACCCACTGCCTGGCTTCCTGATTGAAAAGGAAGCGGTTCAATGCTCCCTCGGCACTGCCGGTCAAAGGGAGATGTCCCTCTGACCAGAAGTTCCGGTATCGAAGGTAAGTATCGTAGCATTCTACTCGCCCAAATACTCGGTATTGGCTCTAATAGTAGCATCGGTGCATCCCTACATATAACCAGATGCAGGTTCTGATTAGTTTGCAAGGATGTACTTTGCCTTGCTCTTTAAATGTCTCCCAGTGAATTGTAGGGATTAGTAATTTAAGACATTGCAAGGTTCTGAGAATTTGGATTAGGGTTTGTTAGGTGAAAACATAAACTGGTATTAGGCTTTAAACTTGTGCTTAGAGGCATTCATTGGAAGGGTCCATGAGACCCGCTGGAGAGTTTAATCACGGGACAATTTTAAATGTTTCTCAGGGACGCGAGAGATTTCTGCCCACCCCTGATGTCATGGTAGATGTGAGACTCTATGGTGGACGTAAAAGGACCAGGGTCTGTTATGAAGAGATCTGGAGTTCCTGAGAGATAAGAGTAACTAGACACCAGCAATCGCTGAAATATTGCTTTTGGGTAGACCAATCCTCTAAGCTAAAACCAAACGTTGAGCTACTCAATGTTGGCTTTAAAAAAGGGGACTGGACATTAACTCGTTACTAATTATGAGCCTGGGCTTCGTGTGAACCTAGGTCACATAAAGTCCCAAAGGGGCAGGGAATGCCCCCACCACAACTGCCACCACTGAATGGATTGGGAGGAGGGGGTGGCAGTCACAGTTTTGAGTGGGCTAGGTTGACTGCCACCCCCTCCTCCCAACCCAATCAGTGGTGGCAGTTGTAGTGGGGGCATTCCCTGCCCCTTTCGGATGTGTAACTGCAGATGGGGGAATGTGCCTGCTGTAACTGATTGGGCTGGGAGAGGGGTTAGCGTTCACAGTTTTGACCGCTAACTGGGTTTGCACCAAGCCCAAGCTCATCACTACTCCTTATGCCTGTAGGTTGCCACCCAAGTACTGGGCCAAAATAATGTTTGAGCCAAAAAGCTTTGCCTAGCCTGAGAGGAAGAACTTTGTCCATAGTGGTCTCATTGCAGGCACATTCTATAAAATGGCTCCCCTTGGAAGGACCACCTGCTAGAATAGTATTACAGGCAGGGCAGGCTGCTGCACCCAAGTAAATAATCTGTCTGTACTTAATTGGCTTGGTAGTAGGTAACTGATGCTTTCATATTATTTCATCTGTGTGCTTATGATACTGTTTCAGAAAGGAGTGGAATCCAAGACACATTTTTGGACAATTATCAATGTACACACAATGTTATTTGTTTTCTCAATACATTTTTGGGGAATTTTATTTCTCACAAGAATTACCAGAAATGGATACATCGAGCACCCTACCCACACTCCACACATCTGCACCTCATATAGCAAACTATGTGAGACCAATTGGTGGGAACTGTGGAAATATAAATCTTCAACTGGCAATTCCACCATTAGGGAATATCTGCTTCTCTCTAGTGCTTAATATCTGACGTCCTGTCTACTCCTCTCTCTCTCTCCTTTTCATCCTTCATTCTATATTAAGGTTTCTTCTACCTTTCCTTCACCTGACTCAGCTGAACTTCACAACAATTTCACCTTTTTCTTTACCAGCTAGTTTCAATTGAACTTTTTTCTCTTCCTTCTTTCCACATTCAGCTTAGTCCCTTTTCCTCTTTTTGTGCCTCTCTACTGATATTATTATTTTAATCTTTTCACAATTTAATTTTATTTCCACGCTAGCTCTACTTTCTATTTCCACGCTAGCTCTACTTTCTATTTCCACACTAGCTCTACTTTCTAATACATTTCCCCGCTAGTATCTCTCTACTCCATCACCCTACATGTTTCGCTGCGATTTGTTGCCTCGTTGGGTGCTCTGACATAAATGCATACATTAGCAGCCTAATGATTCACAGATAGCCACTCGGTTGAGCTCCCTAAGTACACCTGTTGCCATGAATTCTGGGTTATGATCAAATCAACACGTTTATGGGTGCAAGCTACTAAAAGCTTGTTGCTGAACTTTATTTGTAATAGGATTAGTAGTTTAGAGTAGATCAAGATATGCTAGTTGAATTGGCTTGAACGTTTGATAGAGAAACCTCCTGGCAGGCTCTAGTGTTAATTTCGTCAATGGTGGTATGATTGTTATTTCCAAGAAGGCTTGGAAATTCTTTGGAATGGCTTGAGTTTGGTCCTTGGTAATAATTGGCTGCTTCCCCCCCATACCCTCCACTAAAATAAGTGGCCTGGACTTGACGGCAATCACTTTCTGTCCTTGTGTGCTCTATGTACAAGCTTCTGCAATTCTAATACTTTTCTTCATTGACTTCTAGGATATCCCTGCCGGCCCCCATGATCTCTAGAAGTAATTTCAGCGTGTGGAGCATATTAAAAAAATGCATCGGCCTGGTAAGTCTGACCGTAGTTATGCTGTGACCTTTTAACCTCTTTTTGACCACAATTCAATTGTAGAAGTCCAAATGTAAAATGCCCCTTGCTGTGAGAACACTAATTGACTTTGTGGCAGAAAATCTTGGAATTAAGCAATGTTCAGCTGTGTGTGTTCCTAGCTCTCAGACCCACTGTCAATCAGAAACATTGGTCATACCGTGTTTCCCCGAAAATAAGACACTGTCTTATATTTTTTTTGCCCCAAAAAAACACACTAGGTCTTATTTTCAGGGGATGTCTTATTTTTTTTTAATGTGCAACAAAATGTACAACAATCTAAAGTTATCTGGTATCACTCCGCCTGTCACAGTAACTGGCGCTATAGAGAGGAAATATCGGCTAATGTGGCTCTGCTCCCTCCGCCGCCGCAGCCTTGCTTTCTACTGCGCTGGCTTCCTTTGCCATCAGGGGCAATGGTACCAGCAGTGCAGCAGTGGGAAATCAGACAGTGGACAGCGCGGTAAAGTACGGTACCATTTACTGTTACACATTACAGTACAGTACCATTACATTAAGCAGTGCCTTCAGGGGGACAGCAGTTGGTGTAGTATGGTACTAGAGTGCTCCCTGTCACTGTGCTGGCCGGAGGGAGTCCCCTGTCATCCCCTTAATATAGTATGTCACTGCAGGCTGATACCATCACTCCTGCTCTTCAAGTTTCCCCTCACATGCTACCACCAAACTAGGTCTTACTTTCGGGGTAGGTCTTATATTGCAGGAATCTTGAAAAAGAGTGCTAGGCCTTACTTTCGGGGGAGGTCTTATTTTAGGGGAAACAGGGTAGGGTTATTGTCAAATTAAAGCTGAACTCCAACCTTACCTTCAGTGTTGTACAGGCTCACAGTGTACATTAGAAGCTCCAGCAAGGTCAGATTGAGTCTGAATCTTTTTGTGGCTGGAGGACATCCAGCATTATCTAGCTTTTTGCTCCCCAACTTTACTGTCCCTGGCTCATCCCTTCTTTTCATTGGATTTCAATATTGTTTATCATGGAAGCTCTGCATAATATGAGGGTGTATCCTAGGCAGGCTCTAGGAATGCCCACTCCCGCAGACTGACACCCACCCCTATCAAGGCATTTTGATATTTGCATTACTTCTCTCAAGAACCAGCCTGCTGATTGCTTGAGAGGTGTATAGAGCTACGTTCAGCACCCTGTGGACCTTCCCACCAGCCATGATTTGTCTGCATTAGAGAGAGAAGCACAGAGATCCAGTAATGACATGAGGTTTTATTAGCATGTTGGTGAGGGGGAACCAGGGAAGGTAAAATATAAGTAGACTAAACTTCAGTTTTAACTGATGCATACCAATGCTGTTAAAAACTGAAAACTGCAGTCTCCGTAAAACTCTGGGTTAAGAATGAATTGCTCCACAATGCCTGCAGCTACAGGGGTTAGTAGGGTTTGCATTATAGCTTATTTGCTGCTCGCTAGGAGTATGTGAATACTCGAATGCCCATAGCCTGGCCACTGGTTCACTTTAAAGATAGTTTGAGAACCATTTTTGAGTCCTCTACAATCTAAAAGGTCACCCACCACTGGCTTTCATTGTAAATATTGATTGGCTGTATAGGCACAACATTGCATGGCAGCAAGAAAATCTAAAACATCTCCAACTGGGCATTGCGGATACCAGGGGATCTGTACAGGTGTAAGGGAATGAGAATAATACACCGGCTTGCAGTATTGGTTTTACAGAAAAAAAGGGCTATTGTCTGCTATGGCTGGTTTCCCAGATTGCAGGAAAACAAATTAAAATATGTGAAATGCCAATTGAAATGGACTCGAATAACCTAGATGTGTGTTTGGATCTTAAGGACAGGTGGCAGATTTTGTGTGTTTGAAAGCTCTTTAGAAGCAGACCGTTCAGTATTGAATTTTAATCTCTGTGTTACATAACAAACAGATTGATGGCACCTGGCTGCTTGTGCCCGTTCTCTGTTATGTTCCCTCTGTTGTACATTAAATAATGCCGTGTAATTATACCCAGCAGAGCTTTCTTGCCTCACACCCCTTGTACAATGAGATTGTTGCTTGTTCCAAAACAAAGTCCTGGACCCACGGTGCCAGGGCAAGACTGATTAATATACATCATTTACAAAGCAGATTTTAATATGCTCAAACAGCAGTATTGTGTTGTGGAAAAAAACATTGTCACATTAAGCCGGCATGGTGGTTTGTTTTTTGTTATTATGCTTATGTGAGGGTGATCAACACAAAGTAGACCCGCTGTGTTCTAACAACTTTTCTATAACAAAAATGTCCCACTCATGCAGATAATTAAAGCTACAGAGTGTTAAAATGACCTCATTGAATACCAGGAAATCTTGTGGCCAGTGCCAAACTGTTTGGGATTGGAACAGGATTCTGGTCAGCTTTAGAAGAACATCATCCTTCAGTAGAGACTGTGCCCAGTGCTGAGCCATGGCAATTGCTGAGCCATGGGTCGTGTGATTGTTATCTCCAACCAGTGCTGAGCCATGGGTCGTGTGTCCAGTGCTGAGCCATGGGTCGTGTGCCCAGTGCTGAGCCATGGGTCGTGTGCCCAGTGCTGAGCCATGGGTCGTGTGCCCAGTGCTGAGCCCTGGGCCGTGTGCCCAGTGCTGAGCCCTGGGCCGTGTGCCCAGTGCTGAGCCCTGGGCCGTGTGCCCAGTGCTGAGCCCTGGGCCGTGAAGCTAGTAGGAGTAAAGCTTTTAATATAGTGTAGACTACTATATAAACTGTCTGGTGTAAGATTAATAGTATCATATGCTGGGTATAGAAGAGAGGATGGGGAGGGATTGACCTCAACCTCACGAGAAAAATATGTTTGTTTGCCTCCTTTTGGCTTTATTTCCATGGCCAGCTAACTAATTCCTCCAGCTGTCAGCAGACGTAGGAAAACCTCTATCCACCTCTCTGGGGAACGAATCCCTGATTTCATATATCACAAGTATATGTTGTACACATCTGCGGGAACACAAGCAATCCCGTGTGCAGTTTGGTCCCATCGTCTTCTGTCTCAAGGGAGACTGTGAGCTCAAGGCCCGTAGACATGGACCCTCAGTGTTCTCCATGGTTGGTATTAGTATTCCACAAATATAAGATGATAAGTTGAAATCACAGTGTTGATGAGCCAATGTTGCTTTCTCTCATGAATATTTTTCTGTTTAAATTGCCCGCATTACCCTTGCAGCAGGAATGGATTTCTTAGTCCCGAGAGTCGCCCGCTGTAACCTTGTTTTCTTGTTTTCTCTCCCGGCCTGCAGGAACTGTCGAAAATCACCATGCCGATTGTTTTTAACGAGCCTCTGAGCTTCCTGCAGCGAATCACCGAATACATGGAGCACACATACCTGATCAACAAGGCCTGCTCCTGTACAGATCCGCTACTCAGGATGCAGGTCAGTATCTGACACGTACGCGCATACATTTTCCAGCAGGCTTCATGCCTCTCTGTGCTGGAAGAGGCGATGCTTAAAGCTTGTGCGCCAGCATCTCTCCGCGGGGTACTGCCAGTATTAGGTAGCGCTGATCTTTGAAGGTTTGCCGTCAAACCTCGTAAACAGCACAACAGTGTGTGGTTTGCAGATTTAGACACAGTTTGTATGTTACTCTTCACCAGTGGCAGAATCACCAGAATGAAACTGCTCATTCTAATGGAAGTGGCTCCCTCACTGGCAGATAAGCTGCAGAGTCCCGAGACACATCACTGATCCTTGCAGTGGAGGAGAAAAGCAATAGAAGAAGCTGAGTTAATTTGAGCTATTTGGCCTCTGCAGAGTTATTGCCAGTGACGGAACTGCTAGTGTGACAGGCCTTAGGGCCTGTTCACATGAGATCAGGTCCTGATCAGCAGACGTGGAGCTGCTGATGCAGTGCGTTTTGGCCGCGTTTTTGATGCGTTCCAGCACAATTTTTTTTTTTTGCTGGAGTGGGGCTGTTAGTATGTTAGCTGCAGCGCAGTGCGTTTTTGACGCGTTTTTGACGCGTTTGCGTATCCAGTCCGTTTCCGGACCTGACAAAATGTGACATGCAGTATTTTTTCTGTCGTAAGCTGAACGGACTGCGCACGTGAGAACTGTAGCCCATAAAACACATAGGGATACATTGGGATGCATTTTGAGTGCAGCAGCGTACGGAGACGATCAGCACACAAAACGGACGTCGTGTGAACAGGCCCTTAGCGAGTCAGGAGATGTCTAATTTTTCTGTTATCCTGATACAGGAGGGTGAGTGAGTAGTCCTAGGACAGCAAGTGTGTTACTAGCAAATTCTGCTTGTAACACACTTCCTGTTCTAGGATTACTCGCTCACCCTCCTGTATCTGGATAACAGAAACAAGATAGGACTGCAGATTTCCAACCCTCTCCTATTCTCTCAATGGGGCTTAATCCTGTAGCCCTCAGACATACCTGAGAACAATCCGCACATGCAGAGGGAACAGGAAGTTATCAGCTCACAAGATTTCTTGTTCGATTAACCAGTTTTTTTTTTTAAACTTGTCTAAGAGCCCATTCACACCGGGGCGGCTGCAGATCAGTACGGTTTTGGGAGTTTTTAATTGCGCTTCAGCGCTGAAACGCAATTAAAATGCACCAAACCCAGCGCTGTTCCATTGAATGCTGTATGGAAACCGCACTGATCAGCGCGGCAAAAATAGTGCAGGGAGCAGTGGGGGTCGGGGGCGTCGGATCACGCTGAACCGTGCGGTCGTCTGAACCGTCCCCATAGCAATGTATGGGATCGTTCATGTCTGCCGAACCGCCCTGGTGTGAACGGATATAAAAAAAAAATTATCCAATGGAGCATTTAACAGACCAAAAGGGACCAAAGTTCAATGTTCGGGTTTACATACACTTTAAAGAGATGCTGTTGCCAGACTATTTATTTCAACATTTCCACAATTTTACTATGACATTTTATATGTGCATTTAATGTATTTAGGCATTTTTTTTACATGCATAAACCTTCCTTGTATAGAAATCCAAAAGCCTTGAGACTGCTGCAGGGTGGTGCCGCCATGACACTGAGACCTTGTTCACACCAAGCGCGTTCCAAGAGCAGAGCAGTTAAAGACCGGATCAAAACTGCGTCTAATGTATTCCAATGGAATTTTGGGCTCTAGTTCACACCGGAGCGTTCAGTTCCAGAGCAGGTAAAAAAAACTGCAGCAGGCCCTATTTTACCTGCTCTGGATCTGCTCTGGAACGCATGCAAGCGCCCTGGAACACACTGAAAGCCCATTTTAAACTTTAAACATTTTTTTTTACCAAAAACGGCCCGGAACGCATCAAAAACGCGGCAAAACCCACTTCACTGCGTGTGCAGAAACCTAAGCAGATCTGCTCTGCTTTTGGTGTGAACAAGGCCTAAAAAGAGGAGCACCAGACTGATGAGCTGTCACTCTGTTCTCTCCTCTTATTGACGTGCCCGGTAGAAGCACATGGGCACTGCAGCATAGCTGATTGGCTTCTTGTCCTGCTTCTTCCTCTGCTAGTCTTGGATTTACTATACACGGATTGCAAAAGTCAGGTGCTTACACTACTGGCATTTAAAAAATGCATTTAATGTTGTATTCATGAGCACAGAGCTGTATTAATTTGTGTCTTTTATATCTGCCCGAAGTACGGTTTTAACAGTAAAATGTAGTAGCAATGAATTCCAAAGTGAAAGGCTGGAAAATACTTTTATTTGAGAAAAATGAACAGATAGCAAATTCTCTTTGAGCTCATTTTCTAAGCCGAGCTCCTTATCTTGGCCTGTCATCACTGACTTCCACATTCCAGCGTGGAACACTTCCACCGTGAGTCATCCACGAGGACACAGTTCATCCAAATGTAACGAAACCGCCTTTGGGAATCCATAGGCAATATACATAATCAGTATGTTGTTGCACAATGGTAATTCATATTATCTTGTTGAAGACTGCATAGAGGTTTATATTCCCTTATATGAGGGTTCAGGCAGGGGCCAGGACATGTTGAATGTGTGGCTTTTGTATGACATAATGTCGGTCTTGATAGAACACGCCTCCAATGCTTACAGTGCTCTTCCATGTCGGAGGGAACCTTCCACTGTATGGTGCTGTAGAATTCAATCCTTAACTCCATATCTATTGCAGAAATTATTATTGCTATAAAAGGGATCTGTAGCAATGTTTAAAGCCCAACTCCACTCTTTGAATAAGGGCCAGAGGAGTAGGGAATGGTTAGACCCTCTGTAATGATGGCCGCCCTTACTTCCTGTCAGAGTTGAAATCTTACATGTTTAGCAACGCTCTGTAAGAAGGACATAGAATATGTTAGGAGGATTGAGGCAAAGAAGTAAAGGGATGGGAGGTCTCACATGCAAGGAAAGGTTATTAAATTGGGAGCCTTTAGTTTGGTAAAAGACCACTTGGCGATGGTTTATTGATAAATAGGTCAATATGAACGTTTGGAAAATGAACTTTTTATTCCAGGTAGTGTAAACAAGAAAAGAACAAGATTGAGACAGTTTTATCATACGAAGGGTATTTTACAGCTTAGATATGTGTAGGGTCTAAGGGGGGCTGTGCACGGTCTAAGGGGGGCTGTGCATGGTCTCACCAGAGGTCCGGAGGTGAGGATCCACAAGAATGAGGGGAAGTAGATGTGCGGCTGGCGCTGTATGTAGCGCTGAGAGGTCCTCAGCAAGCGTGGGACCTTGCGGAAGCCGCATGTGTTTAAAGATTTAAAGTGGCTGTATCTGCGCTCAGTATCGGGGCATTTTGAAATTAGAAATGCCCAGTATCGGCGCATCCCTAAAAGGATAACGCACATGGGAAATGAATTGTCCTAACGATTTATTTGCATTATGTTTTTCAAGTCTTTGTTAAACCCCGGCTTCTGTCAACCACTGTGGTATCTTACACACTAAGCTACACACGTTCTTATCTCCATTAAACCCGTCTTTGTGTAGACAGGCATTCGTTGCTCCACCATTTTTAGACCGCTTTCTGTGCAGCCAACTATAAAATGAAATGAACCCATTGGAGTGGCATAGCCACCATGTGCAATACCCACTTGTATGAATTTCCATTCACTTACAATTCAAAATGCCCGCAAAGCCAAAACTACCCAGTCTCCATTGTTGACTAAATTCCTGCTTTAGCTCTAAGCTATTCATTTATGTTGATGGCGTCCCCTTAATCTTTTTTGTAGTTTATGATTTTATGTGAAAGTTTGTCGGTTATAAAAGACCTGCTGAGCATACATAAAATGCTGCTGATGCAATCTTTGATAAGCCACTCATGTTTACTGTTTCACTATATGATGAGCAAATGATGAATGAGATTGGTTTATTGGACAGTTTTGGAGGTCATGGTTGGTGATGGGGTGTAGGTGGATGTTTGAGCTTGAGTAAGCATTTGAGATTTTGCTGGCTGTTTCCACCAGAATGACATATACAGATCTGATAATGAGGGAAAATGACAGATTACCACATTGTGTTCCCACTGTTACCTTTGGATCCTTCAGTACATACAATGAGAGTAAATGCTTCCTCCTATATAGAGAAAAGAGAACTTGGACACTGCTGTTATGTAAGCTTGCTGTGGATACACCTAGACCGGTGCTGTTCCCACAGCAATGAAAGCAGCTCCCAGTGGCTCCGTGCCTGGGAGTTTACGGAGGAATTTGGAGCATGCACAGAAGTATTTGAGGCGTGGTGCTCGGATCTAGAGGCCAGGAGAGGACAAGCATTGTGTGATCTAACAATGTTTCTATAGCAGCCCATGCTGTGGTCCTGCCAGTTCCCTGGAAAGCAGTAACATCACTGACCCTAAATGTGACCTAGTCAGGTAATCTTTCATGTGGCCTGTAGAAGAAGCAGAACAGCTGCAGTCTCATTGAGTTACCCCATTAATACTAATTTCTATCTCATTCATAACCCTCACTATGTGCTATGTTAACATAGTGAAGTAAGGATTAGGAAAGGAATTGAAGGGTAGATACACCCAAATCTGGGATTTCACTGCTGTTCAGAAGCAGTTTTGGATATTACTATCTGGTTTTGCTCTGTTGTTAGATATCTCATCCTTAAAGGAATATTGGGAGAGTAAAATATACTCTTCCCCATACTTGGAGGCGGCATGTGACACTGGAACTGTCACACATTTGCTCTATATACTGAGAGCTGAGAGATCATTTAACCACTGATCGCTCAGCTCACGGTCTCCTCCATGCAGAGAGTAGTGACTACAAGTCCCCTCCCCTCTTTGTTCCTCCTATGCTCATTGGAGGGGCAGACAAGGGAGGGGGAGAGCATAGCTGGCTCTTGCTCTAGAGAGGCAGAGCCAGTTGTCCATTAGGTAGATCTTGACAATATTGTCAGAATTCTTCCAGGGTGCAGTAGCCCGCTATATGCTGACTTTAGGTCACAGGAGGACACACAGGAGGTCCCGTGAGCCAATAGAGAAGTAAAGCCCCCCAAAAAAGGTTTTTCTTCTCTTTTTAACAAAATATACATTTTTGGAGCACTTACTCTATGCCCAATTAGTAAAGTGCTTCTTTGTTACCGGAAGCCCATAAAAACAAATGTCTAGGTCAGTTAAAATGTTCTTTGAATTTAGACAAATGTTTCTTGTAGTAGGGGCTTCCGTACTTTGAGTCACTGGCCCAAAAAAGTACACAGATTACAATTTCTGAATTCTTGTTTCATGTCACTGACTCGGAAAGCACTAAAACTGGAGAATCATCCAGACTGGCAGCCAACTGGAGGCAGTCAGTGATGGCAGGTTTCCTCTTGTAATAATTTTTTACAAAACATTTGGACCACAAATTCAGGAAATTGCTTCCACAATACAGCATAGTTAAACACATAGTACTGATGACATTAAGTTTGTAACAGTGTGCAGTTATTTTAGCAATGCATAATACTCATCTATCTGAGGCCTTATCAGCTCATGTCGCAGAAGTTACATCACACACTCAGCCATGGAAGTCCTCCTCGGGTGATACAATCTCTACACGGCTAGACACTGCGGTTTTCCCAAACACTATGGGAGCTCTTTGTAGTTGGCGAATAGAGATCCAGCAAGGATTGAGGAGGGCTTAACCTTTCTGTTGCCTTCTCCATAGAAATTGAAATGTCACTACAATTACTCAGAGTGACAGGAATTGCTGGAACGTTTCTGCAGTTTTCACGGCAGAGAAAAACACCAATTGATATAATGAAAATAAGATACAGTGTATTGCTTATGGGGGATAAAAATGTCCGAGGAGATATCTCCATTTTCTGGAGTAAGAAGAGTTGAATGGTTGCTGTGGATTACATGCTTTAAACCTATATTTTGTATCTAAATGCCCATATTACATAATTGTATACAATTTAACCAAAAATGTTCTGTATAGATGAATAAATCTTTGTATGGTGTTTGCATTACTCTAACTCTATGTGCTTACCCTTTAAATTGTAACTATTCCTCCAACACATTTTCAATTCTGAACTAGGAAAACAAATCACAGTTCTAAGTGGAGGCTTTTCTACATAGCTCCTTTATAGTTATAGTCCGCATGGTGTAAAGTGGAGAGGAGGGGTACAAGCACATCAATGCTAGGTGTTGAGTGGTGGAGAGTTGCTCATTTGTAGCGTGGTTGCCTTCCCGCTGGCAGGAAAGTGTTACTTGATTGTATTTAATAATTCAGGCAGCTTTTTAGTTAGACGAGTATTCTTTTCTAATATTTTGTGTTCCTTTTTTGTTTTATCCATTACAGTCTGTGGCTGCGTTTGCTGTTTCAGCTGTAGCATCTCAATGGGAGAGGACTGGCAAACCCTTCAACCCTCTTCTGGGAGAGACATATGAATTATTAAGGTAAGTCCTGGTCATTACGGGGAAAACCGACCCAGTCCCTTCCACGTGACTCATGTACCGTCTCTTGCAGGGAAGACCTGGGCTTCCGGCTCATATCTGAGCAAGTCAGCCATCATCCTCCCGTTAGTGCCTTTTATGCTGAAGGTCTGAATAAAGACTTCCTCTTCCATGGCTCTATTTACCCGAAGCTGAAGTTCTGGGGCAAGAGCGTGGAGGCCGAACCCAGAGGAACCATCACCCTGGAGCTGCTCAAGTAAGTTTGAATGGGAGGCGCACTTTGCACCAGAGGCCAGAGGGCACTAAATGTACACACTTCGGTATGTAAAAAAAAAAAGATTAAAGGGAAAATATCAGAAATTTTAAGGATTTAGAGGATATTAACAATGTACAACATAAAAAACATTTTGAAAACATGGCTGACCATCGTCTTCTTCTTGTCTTGCCTTTTGCCAGGCATGGCAGCTTAAATGATAGCACCTGCATAGCGATTTCTGTACACATTTGCAAATTGTAAATGTTTTTTTATTAAAAGGGGGGGGGGGGTTAGTATAATAGTCCATTGACGTTTCACCTGTAGTAAAAGCATGTTTGCATTATTATACTTTGTGTGGTGTCATTTTGCTGATGTTGGGCATCCAATTTACATGCCAGTGCCATTTCAACATTATCAAATTTCAGCCCAGCGTCTAGTTGGGTGGGTGCCATTTGTACGGCATTAGTGCTCGTAGATGATGCTAACGTGTATAGGATTTTCCTATACGGCGGGTGGAATCCAAAGTTTCACCCAAGTCCATATTTAAGGACAGTAGGGCCCACAAGGATTGTCCAACATCCCAAATCCAGATTGTGATCCTAGAGCGGTGAGGCAAACTGGATACTGTTTTTGAAAGACTGAACAAAAGTTTGTATCTAGAGCTGCTCAATGAAGATATAGAGTAGCCATTCCAGTGACATTGCAGCATTCACAACCACACTAGATGTACGGATAGAGAGATGGGAGGAGATCTGGGATATGGCAAGTCCTAGCATAGCAAACAAGGCCAAGATGGTGGATACAAGACCAATCACCGTGCACAAGGAGTGAGAGCCGCGGTGGCCAGTCTTTATTACAGGAACGCAAAGTTTCTCACCGCATTACTGCACAGATCTGGAAGAAATACACAACGCTCACCAAGCTTCAAGGAAGAATACGCATGACTCTTGTATTTACAATATTTACTTACTCCAGAGCTCAGCTTTAAGTTGATGAACTGATACTGTTGTTTCCATTATATTGTAACTGTAACTTCAAGAGAGGATATATAAAACCAGTATAAAGAAGCATGCAGATGCCTATACCTATATGGCACTTTCTTTGACTCAGAGAAGAATGTTGAGCAATGTTTATATAGGACAAGTTATAGAGGGAACATGGACGCACATCCAGCTTAGAGGTTTTATATTCTCAGACCATCTAAATTCTCCTAAAGCAGACTTTGCCTTCTAGATCACACCGAGATCCTTTGCATGATTAAACATATACTCATGCTTTTGTCTCCTCATTGTCGTTTCTAATATCTCGTTATTCCTCTGCAGGCACAAAGATGTCTATACATGGGTAAACCCCACCTGCTGTGTACACAATGTTATTATCGGGAAGCTGTGGATAGAGCAGTATGGGACGGTGGAAATTTTAAACCACAGGTAAATCATTACAAACCTCTGGACTCCCTGTCATGGATGCTTCTAATGAATCCTTTAAACTAAACAATAGAAGTCCCCCATGTATTAGAAGTCAATATACCGTATATGACCAAACATTTGTGGTCACATGATCATCACACCTACATATATATGGCCCCAAAAGTAGTATACGTTGCTCCAAATTTATTAATTTCAGGTGTTCCAGTGAAAGGTACTGATAATGTAACAGCACACAGACATTTTAGACCATAGGCAGCCAGACTTTGGCACTCCAGCTGTTGTGAAATGAAAAGTGCCTGAAGGCATTGCAGGACTCTTGATAGCCACAGGCATGACTCCCAGAGGCAGATGCATGATGGGATTTGGGCCAGAGTTTGGCCTAACCATTTTTAGACAATTATGTGCTTTCAGCCTTGTGGTAACAGTTTTGCAAAGGCCCTTTTCTGTTCCAGTTTATTTTTTCCCTGTGCACAAAGTTGGTTCTTCAAGCGTATGTCAATGCAAAATTTAAACAAATACATATTTATATAATCTGTGGAATACACACAATATTCCCCATTGTTTATCCCTTTTAAGCATGCTACAAGTACAGAAAAATAACTGTTGATGTGCCAGAAATATAGTATGCTGCTCCCACTCCACTTCGACAAGACAACACAGCTCCGAATTACTTTCTAATGGATTGCAAAAAGCACAGACCTCTTCTCATCTTCCCCCTCTCAACCTCCTCTTCTCCATAACTCCTCATTCTGCATAGGCAGAGAGCATAGGAAGTTATCACAAGATTTCTGAGGTGAGGTGAATGGAGGGGCGGAAGAGCCGGGCCAGCAAGACATTAATTAGACTCACCCCAAAAGAGGAGAGGTCTATGACATGACAGGGGGGAGTAGGTAACAGTAAGGGATACTATTGGTGAAATGACTTTGGGTATTGTTTTATGTATCCAGTTTAGAGGTAAATAAAGCTTAGCCAGGTTCTTCTTTAATCATTTGTTTTTATGTGCTTTGTTCTAGCACTGGAGATAAATGCATCCTGAACTTCAAACCCTGCGGCCTGTTTGGAAAGGAGCTGCACCGAGTAGAAGGATATATTCAAGATAAGAAGTACGTACTGTAGCAATTAGAGTTCCTTGTTTTTTTTCTCCTGAGCCATATTAGACTAACCGTGCCGATAAACTGGCAGATCTCCTACCAGATCTCCTACCAGAAATGGTGGGCATTGAGAGATTTTCCCAGCTGCTTTGAGTCTCTCACTTCTGGACCAACTGTGACATTTGTCTCTAATGTGGCCGATATGGAGACATTGGTGGCCTAGGACATATACAGAGAGTAGATTTCCCAGCCAGTATTTTGATGCATTTCTTTTGTGCATTGCTTTAGCCACTTTATTGAAGGCATGTACTGTATACTGTATAGAAATATGGATTGCCATGGGCTTGTCCATGGCTGAGGAACATCATAACAAAGCATCCTTTTTCCTTTATTACCGAGGTGTACTGATCCAAGTGTCTCATAATCCATCTTGTGCCTCAGGGACTCACCAATTGTTCTAGATATGTTTTTGTTTTTGTAATAGTGCAAGGATGTGTAATGTGAACTCAGTTATTAGATCCTGCCCAATCTGTCTTATTAATAGTCTGCAGAATGACAAGCTGGCCCTGAGCACTCATCATTCACCCACACAACAGACGTGTTCTGTCAACATCCAGTTGATGGACAGTGCATCGGGCCTTGACTTTTTACTACAGAAGGGACAGACGAGATCCCTTTCTGCCATAGCCCAGCGATTCCTTGTTTGTTTATGTTAATGAGGAGTCAAGGCTCGACTGACAGGCTCAGAACACTGCTCAGGTTCAGACTGGGCACTCCAGTACCTTCATCTTTTGAGCACTTTAATAAACTCGGAGCAGAATGATGCTTTGTTAATATAAAAGCGGAATATATTTCTGCTGTAAAGGGAAGTTGCAGGTGACGAGAGAAACCAAACTTTGAAGTGATAGTACGATCCAGCAAATAACCGCATGCATGGTGCATGGTCAGAAGGTCCAGTCACTATATAATATAATGAGATTTCATAATGTGGCTATAATCCGCAGCATCTAGATTTCACACAAATCCTTACAGGTGTGGTGAGTAGGTCTGCTTCCTGATCTCTGTGCTTTGTAGCTCTCAGCTAATTTTTTGTTCTTTATTATTGATTGCACTTGGTTATACAGCATGGATCGAGGAAATAAATAATTTACTCCATGTACTCACTGCTAATACATAATGGTTTTGCACTTTTTATAGCAAAAAGAAACTATGTATGATATACGGAAAGTGGACAGAGTGCTTGTGGAGTGTAGATCCTGCTACGTATGAGGCTTACAAGAAATCAGAAAAGAAGGGCGGTGAACCGAAGAAAAATAAACCGGTGAGAGGACTGAGTGACACTTCACCTGATTTCATTACCAGGACTGAAAAGTAAAATAGAATTATGGGGAGAGTGAAATACACTAATCGACAAAATTAGAGCCAACGTGTGACACTTAAGGTGTCACACGTCAGCTCTAGTGATTGAGAATTGACCCTTGATCGCGCCGTTCCCGTTCTCCCTGCATAAAGCGGTGGCTGTCAGTCACTGCTCCCCGCAGGGATACACCCTCCCCTCTCTGTTCCCCAGCGCTGACTAGAGGGACAGACAGGGAAGGGGCGGGCACAGCTGGCTCTGCATCTAGAGAGACAGAGCCAGCTGTCAATCAAGTGGAGGGGTGAATCCTGACAATATTGTTGGGATCCGTCCCGGCTGCAGCGCGGCTCTGTGCAGTCAGCATATAGCAGGCAATAGCCTACTGTATGCTGAGTTTTGGGTCACAGGAGGACATTAGTATAGGTTGGGCCATAGTTCTTTTTTAAATACTTCCTAGACTTTTTCTAAAGACAAAGCGACTAGACACCAACTCAGGGCTGAGTACGTAAGACCAAATCACATGGACATGAGAAGAACCGGCCACTAAATACATCCCCTGGGCTGAGAAGGGGGAGCAAGGCCAACATAACTCATTCCAAGAGCTTAGAAGTAAGGATTAAATTACCTAGATTCACTTTCAGGACTGAGACACTAGGGCTAAACCACCTAGGTAAACCTCCCGGAATCAAGAGGGGGGGATTAGACCATTATGGCTAACTGCCAAAGCTGATTATTAAAACTGGACCACCGATAATCATTTCAGTGGCTGAGAAGCAAGGAGGAGATCACATAGAATCATCCTCAGGTCTATGAAGTGAGGAAAAGTACTTAAGGACTCCTGGGGCCTGAGAAGTAATAGATTTGGTGATAGATTTGGTGGAGTCACTGCTAAAGTTGAAAGGTAAAGACTAGACCATTTATACTCATCCCAATGATTGAGGAATACAGGACCTATGCTCATAGAGCTTAGAATGAAGGTATCTTTCATTCTAAGCATACTGGTGCAGAAAGTGGCACTAATGTGATGATGTCAGCACCACTCTCTGCACCAGTATGCTTAGAATGAAGGGTGCCATGGTCCTCAGTCTTCCATGCTGAATGATGCTGGGTTGGTGGGCATTTAACCTGGTAGACTGAGGACATCTTGTGGCCAAGAGGAGGTACTGCGGGGGACAGCAATGAGACTTGATGGCTAGACTACCTACATATATCTTCAAGGCAGAGAAGTAAGCAACAGATTATTCATTTTTTTTTTCTTCTCACACCTCATTACCTGCAGAGTGAAGAAACTGTGAATCCAGACACAGACGAAGCTGATGATATGCCAGAGGTCCAGGAGACTGTGCAGGTCATACCTGGCAGTACCCTTCTATGGAGGATCAGTAGCCGACCTTTAAACACGTCTCAGGTTATCACAGAATCTTTATAATCTTTTATCATTAATATTCTTTCTGAACTGTACTACAGTACCAAAAAAATAAATCCAAACTTGGCAAAGAAGATGTAATGAATGATTCATATACAAGTCTACATCTTGTAACATTCTGCCTTTTTCCTCCCAAGATGTACAATTTTACCCATTTTGCCGTGGCTCTTAATGAATTCGACAAAGACATGGTGTCAGTTTTGGCCCCCACGGACTGCCGGTTAAGACCCGACATCAGACACATGGAGAACGGGGATCTAGGTAAGTGTCTGAGTCACCTCTCTCCTTTCCACTTGTGTGATGCTGTAAAATTCGGATCTCCTCTCTTTACACTGCAGATAGCATGAGGTTAATTATTTGTGTATGAATAATATGTTCTTCTTCTTCTTTCAGATCAGGCTAGTAAAGAGAAGGAAAGATTAGAAGAGAAGCAGAGGGCATCCAGGAGGGAACGAGCCAAAACAAATGAAGAATGGAACACAAGGTATTACATTTACAAGTACACACTGTTCAGAGAACAGTAAGACTAGATTTGCCCGAACTTTTAAGACTGCCTGAGCCTGCCTACTAGGAATAGTTTGCTCTTTAGCCCTCTATAGTGGATGCCAAGCTGGGGCTCACCCTTACCACAGACTTTCAACACAACTAGAAAAAAACAGCCAGCAGCACACCATAATATCTAACAATAGATAGACTCTATTATTCCAGGACAGACTTTAAGAAGCCCTGACTGGGACTTCCTCCCCTGATGCGTTTCAGCCACCTTTGGCCTTAATCATAGAGAACGTCTCTACTATTAAGCCAAGTGGTAGGTAAAACATGTCAGAGGAGAACATCCCAGGTGGGTCTCCTTGAAGTTTGTCTTGGAATAATAAAGTTTTTCTAGCGTTGGATGTTATTTTGTGCTGCTGGCTTTTTTTTGGGGGGGGGGGGGATTTTTTGAGGCATGGCTACTCTCTGTGCAGCTTAAACACAACTTGAAGCGGCCCTGCCAACCCCAGCTTTTAGGGTTTGTTAAACCCCACTAGCCAAATCAGGTTTTGCTTTAAAATCAGTGTACTGCTGGCATACTCAATGAAAACGCAATAGCTGTTCAAGCTTGTCCGGTTTTGGATGGCTACTTACGACCTTCTCTTCAGGGCCATTTAAGAGTTTCAGTTGAATGAGGCCCTAACTGTTTTTTGGGTTGGGTTTCTTTGTGTTATTTCACAGTTATTGAAGCAGGAAATAATTTCTTCTGCGCTGAATAGCGGGATTAGATTTAACAAGTTGCTGCAGTCTAATTCACACCTCTCAGTAGGCTAAATAATCAAACAAATATCCTTTTTATAAATGACATGTTGCTTTCTACAGTCATTTTTTTTTTCAGTCGGCCAAATAGTGAATTGGCTAAAACAGTTTCAGTACTTGTTTCATGTTTGACTTGTCTGTTTTAAAGTGGATCTGAACTGAAAATTGAAGCTTTTCTATGCTATTGGGGACATCTAGAAATGTTAATGGTGTCTAGGCCGTGAATTCCTCCTGAGTAATAGCAGTGCACTTCCTGGTATAATTCTGTGCTTGGTAGCCTCTACCTTGGGTTCCCCCATTTTTCATATGTTTAGAATTCTGTGCTTACAGCCACATAGCTTTGTATATGTATATGCAGCATGAGATCTAATGCACTGCTGCCTCTGACTGCTAGTCTTTGGAGATTTAGGGTGAGATTTGGTGACGTCGATGCTTTTTTTCACTGTTCTCTATGCTGGAGGCTCTGACTTGAGGAAGCAAAGCCCTGCCTATGCCAAAATGGCCTCCTCCAGAGAGAGACACAGTGCAGAACAAGGCATGGTTAGTCAGTAATGGAGAAAGTTCGGCTGCAGGGAGACCACAAGTAGTACTGGTGATTAGCCCTTTGACCTCTGCCTGACTTTTTTGGCACTGCTTCCAGAGTTCAGTTCCACTTTAAACAGCCCTAAGCAGTCACTGGAACATATATCTGCCTTGAAAAACAGACATTGGGCTAGCTCACCCAAGAGATGTTCATGCCACTGATCTCATAGCTGTGATGCAGCCATGAACAGGATCTTCAACAAAAGAACATTGCCGCTTCCAGTAAAGTCCCACACTGAAATGACACAGACATTATGTGCTTGGCTGAAATTGGCACGTTGTGCTGTTCAGTGGAAAACATTGCATGCAAAGCTCTCTTGTGACCCAGCACTTAGAATCAGCAGTAGGGACATTCCAGTTAAAAAGGATACAAGTCACCAGAGACATTCATGGGCAGCCATTATTTGATCTATTCATGTGAAAATGCTAGTTGTTGGTGGTCTATGGCTTAAGTAGTCACAGACGTGGAACAAGCTTGCAGCCCAGTCTGCATACTCGCTCCAGGTCA